AGCCTGAGAGAAGCATCTAAAGAGAGGTTTAAAATACCACACATGGGTGGCATTCCCCTGGCGAGCTCAGGTTACATCTCCCAACCATCCCAACCAGGCCCTGGTCTGGCCTGCTGCTGGTGTGTGGATGTATTCTGAGTTACCCACTGTTGATCCTCTGGTCACTGTCAGTACTGGGGAACACTAGGGAGGGAAGGAGGGGTAGATTTGAGAGGCTGGAACTGAATAACTGAGTCTAGGGGTTTTAGCCTGGCTGTGGGTGGGAGGGGTGCAGAGAGAGACACAGCTGCCCCTCATTCCTCCCTCTCAGGCCTCAGCTCCCTGGGACCTCTCCCAGTCAGAGGCAGCAACTAGCAACAGGTGCGGGTCCGATACCCCTGCCGACCCGATACAAGGCCGAGGCTGGCATTCCAGCAGGACCGCCCAGTCACACAAGCCGGGCCTGGGTGATGTCACACAGAAGAAGTTGGCCAGGAGGCCAGAAAGCCATAAGGAGCCAGGAACCAGAGGGCTAGTTAAAAGTATGGGGCTGGCTTCCAACAACACCCAGGATCTGCCAGGGTTTCCACAAGGTCTGCCAGGCCCAGTAACGTCTCACTCCCCTGGGAGCGATTACTAAATCAACACCCCACCGGAGGCGATGCTCCACAGCCCATCACTGCTACAGGAAGCCATTGTTCTCCCAGTAGAGAAGTGGCTGGTGTGGTGGTGGTTTTAATGGAGAACCAGATATGGTGTGTGTGTGTGCATGTACATGTGTGTGAGTGTGTCAAAAATCTGACCCAAACCAGGATGATTTATCAGTTTGTCATAAATAGTTCAGAACCAACACAAGAAGGATTTTTAGGTATTCAACTGTAGGGGATTATGAGGGCATGTTACATTAGCCAATTAGCTTGAGCTGTAAAGTGTTTTGAGTGAAATATACTCTGAGGACGCATTCACCTCTCTGCCCGTAGTATGACATACAGGTTAGCGCTCTTCATCATTCATCTTGTACTGGAGGCAGCTCTGCAGGGAGGTCACTAGCTGGCACAGCCACAATGTCATAAAATCTGATTTTCAACCTAACCTTAACCCTAACCTTAACCACACTGCTAACCCTAATGCCTAACCCTAACCTTAACCACACTGCTAACCCTAATGCCTAACCCTAACCTTAACCACACTGCTAACCCTAATGCCTAACACTAACCTTCATTTTTGTTTTCATGAATTCTGACAATATAGCCAATTTTGACTTTGCGGCTGGCCCATCTAGCAGAAGTTTTGCCTCAAGGACAAGACTCGTCCCAATAAACATCAACCTGCGTATGGCATTGTCTGATTTCACAGACTTGACCAGCCCTGTCTGGATCTCTTAACCAAAAATACAATCGAGGACAATGTAGTCTGATCCACCGAACAATGCAGTGTTGGTTTTTATAAAGCAATTATCAATTATCTCTCACTCACTTAATCACACACGTGTGCACACACACACACACACCCGTCCTCCTCTCTCCCCCCAGACACCAGTCAGGTCGATCAGAGCTCCAGCAGCAGGTGCTGGCTATAGAAAGCCCAGTGCTGTAACTGTAAATGTGAGCAGGCCAAGTGCTCTGTACGTGCGTGCGTGCGTCTATGTTGGGGGGAAACTCCCCATTGGTGGCTCGCGACACCCAGGAGCCTCTGGTGCTGGAGATGTAGAAGGTAGGGGGGCAGCATCGGCGATCCCTCCCACTTAACTCACCATGTCCCATGGTGAACAAGTTGACCCCCTTGTCTCGCGCTCGCGCCTGCCCACCGCCAAGCCCCGGGAGAGAAAGAGTCGTCTGCTCTATGGGAAAGCCAAGCCAGACCCCTCTAGGTACTGTACTGAGTAGAGTCTCTGTCGGTGCCTGTTGGCTCTCTGTTCTGATTTAAAGCCAAGCGTGGTACCACTACTGTAGTTGGATTACGAGGATGTGTTGATGTCATCATGAACTGGTAATTGACTGCCTTTATTCAAACTAGTTTCACGTCTATGCTTAGTATTATTGCCTGCATAGGTTTTGATGTGTTATTTTGTGAAGTTGGTTGAAAGGGAACTATGAGTTGCTGCTTGTGGAGATTGCTTCAGTCTGTAAGTGAATCTACTCTGAGGTTTCTGAGCGGTGGTGTTTCAGAGTTTCTTTATGTAATGCTATGAGCATTCCTGTCTTTTCACACAGGCTAGATTATCCTTTGAGCTTTAGATGAGCTATATACAGCAATTGTTAGAACTGAAGTTATCAATGTGGTAAGGGGTTGTGTACGCCTTTGTTCGTTTATAGGCGCTAGGCAGACATGTGTGTGTCTTTATTTTGGATTGAGGTAGAGCGAGAGATGGAATTCACACTCCCTGATCGTTAAAAGGGTGTGTGTGCACGTGTGTGCGTGTGTCACCGTCGGAGGACATCTTCATACCTGCTGTCAACAGAGGAATCTGCCGTTGTGGATCATCGAGGGATTAGCTATTGTCTGGCCTCAGAACTGTGACAGTGTTGAGCCAAAGTGAATAAATAACCATAGCTCATATCTAATAGGACAGTGATGCCTCTCCAATATGGCTCTCAGTTGTCGCAGTTCATGAGATTGCACTCGATGATGTATGTCTTAATCAATGTGACCTGACATATTGTACAGCGCATCTTTACCTCATATGTTCAGCTTTTCTCTTAAAGGTCGTGGTTTGGATAAACGCTAGAGGGTAGGAATATACTGTGGCTTTTATGTTCCAGTAGACTTTATAGGGGATGCATTGGGCCACAGTGAAACATGTGCTGTGCAGGTCCCCTGTCAGTTTAATTAAGTGAAACACATGCTGCTTTACAATTTCAATGCACTGTAGCCTAGTGTAGCGATAGCTCTTTCTACCAGTTACACAGACCAATAGCTAGTGATCTAGCCCTGTGACCTTCTCTAACTTTAAACCCCATCCTTCCCGTCACTAGTGGCTGTTCACAATAGGGCCAGCTGAAATATGGTCCAACGCACGTTCATGTACAAGATGAGAAAGGTTTGGGCGGAGGCGTTGTGCCCACGTTGCGACATCATCCTCTGGGAATAATGGCTTCTATTAATCATGGCGCCGCGGCTGTCTTCCTTACGTGACCCGACCATTTACTTTACCCCTTGCACAAAGGATTATGGGAGGAGAGAGGATAGAGGAGCGAGTGGGGCGCATCGTTGGTTACGGGTGTTTATTAAGTCTCTGTCAGATGCCATACATACACCTTCCATTTGCACATGAATATGAACAGGCCTCTCAGCCAGGTATAATGGGAAATTGCCCCGTTTTGTGTTTTTGAAGCTCTATGGTACTTCCCTAGTTAATTGAAGCTCTATGGTACTTCCCTAGCTTATTGAAGCTCTATGGTACTTCCCTATCTCATTGAAGATCTATGGTACTTCCCTAGTTCATTGAAGCTCTATGGTACTTCCCTAGCTCATTGAAGCTCTATGGTACTTCCCTAGCTCATTGAAGCTCTATGGTACTTCCCTGGCTCATTGAAGCTCTATGGTACTTCCCTAGCTCATTGAAGCTCTATGGTACTTCCCTAGCTCATTGAAGCTCTATGGTACTTCCCTGGCTCATTGAAGCTCTGTGGTACTTCCCTAGCTCATTGGCATACAGCAGAAGAAGAGACATGCATAATGGATATCTCAGAGGTCAATTAGTAGCCACCCTTAGCGGCATTGTCAGAAACCGGATGTTTCTGGTTTTCAGGGATACAGCAACTTCCGTTTCCCCTAAAAAGCAGAAGTGGGGACTCCACTCAGGTGCCTTTCTACGCCTGCTATGTTAGGTTAATTAGTAGCCAACAATGACTTGGCACCTCCTCAAAATTAAATCAAAGCCTTGTTAATTTACCAGGGAGAGGGAGAGTCCACAGTTACGATTTAGACAGTCGGGTTGACTAAAACTCATTAGAGTTGGGGGTAATTTGAACAGGAGCACAACGCTACACAAAATTATCATTATCACTCTCAATTGGGAGTTTGGGCCAACCATGCATTGATAAGGGTATCGCTCTGTGTTGCCCGGTTTTAATCTAAGATAAGATCTCTTCAGTGGCCCTATGAAACCAACTGAGAAATAATGTCTAATAAATGTTTTATTTCTTCTGTGTAATGGAATACTTTCTCATCTTTCATTGCAAGTGGCTACCAAAATCTCTCCCAACTTCCTTCCATCAGTCCTTCCTCTTCCTGTGTCTCTCCCATCTGGGAAGAAGTGACCCCTGAACCATAAAGATGAATATTTATATCTTAGAATAATATTCATAAATGAAATCTCAATGCTTTTGATAATCTGCATATCCCTTCTGTCGCCCTGTAAAACTGCACTCATTTTGCCCTTGAAAACCGCAGTCATTTTATTCCAATATTTATTGAGTGTTCTAATTTACCCATCATGCATTAAGTGTTCAGTCTAGTAGTAATTTGCATTCCAAGGCAACTGGCACTGGGACTGGGTATCACTCACCTCTTATGGGTGGTTTATTGACCCTCATCTCTTCCACTATCCCAAAACTAACTAACAACAAACAGATATACACAGAGGACATGTCCTGACTATCAGACAGGATCTAGTAACTTTAGATGACCAATGCTGTTGTTTATTCAGCTTCCTCTGTGTTTGTGTGTGATGACAGTTAAAGGCCAGGGAGGTCACCTTTACCACCGGCACAGATCATCATTTCGTGAATCATGTTGCCCCAGTGCTTCTTGCACTCCTCCTCGGACAGGAGGAGCACAGCACCCTGCTGCAGTTTGTTGGGGTAATTTGCAGGCTGGTAGCTGCTCATGCCCCAGCCGGGAAGTCACACAGGTCATGCCAGGGGCGAAGTTGTCCTCGTAGGAAGCCAGCCACACAGGGGACACTTTGGCGCTCAGGAAGCCAGGCACACGGGGGACACTTTGGCACTCAGGAAGCCAGGCACACGGGGGACACTTTGGCGCTCAGGAAGCCAGGCACACAGGGGACACTTTGGCGCTCAGGAAGCCAGACACACGGGGGACACTTTGGCGCTCAGGAAGCCAGGCACACGGGGGACACTTTGGCGTTCAGGAAGCTAGGCACACAGGGGACATTTTGGCGCTTAGGAAGCCAGGCACACGGGGGACACTTTGGCGCTCAGGAAGCCAGGCACATGGGGGACACTTTGGCGCTCAGGGTGGCAGGGGTGGCCAGCTTGATCAGGATGAGATCATTTTTGATGGTGCTGAGGTTCCACCTGGAGTGGGTGAACACTTTAGCAGGCTTCACGATCTGGATGGCCTCATTGCTCATGCGCATGTCATGCTCGCCAACGACCACGCGATGGGAGGTCTTGACATCGCAGCGAGCGGCAATCACCATCCAGTACTCGTTGATCAGGGAACCTCCGCAGAAGTGGGTGCCAGATTGCTGCAGGGACACCTGCCAGGGCCAGGAGTGGGGCACAGCCTCCTCACTGTTGATGACGCGGCCATAGCCAGACACCACGGGGGGAGATAGTGGGGGTGCCACAGACGTAGATGGCGCTTACAAAGGCGAGACAGTAGACGAACCAGACGTGACAGTCTAGAAGATAGAGATACTATTTATCCCCAAACCCCATCCGCCTGTAACCAATCAGAGACTGGGGTGTGTCTACCCCTCCCGAAAGTCGAGGGTAACCATGGTAGAATCTTAACCTCAAGGATGTCATCCTGGTGGAACCAGTCCGATGAGTAGGGACTCCTGACTGATACAATTGTAAACTCAGCAATCAGGCTGGTTCTACAACGCTAGGGTGATGTATCCAGTTGCTTATCAATGCTGGGCAATCAAACAGTTCTCAGCCATGTACCAGGAGGGCGAGACTCTGCTCAAAACAGCCTCTTATCCTAGCTTAACGCAAATAATACAATTTAATTTTCTATTTTTTTCTTTTTTAACATTTTTGATTATTGTGTGCTTGTTGACATTTACTGCATTGATTGAAAGGAACTAGGACCATAAGCATGGACTACTGTAGGTAGCTAACGTTAGCTAGCAACATATATTTGGAAAAGCTAGATACCTGCCGAAACGTACCTATCTAGCTAGCTAACTTTGCTAGGAAGACAGCTGGCTGTGAAGATGGCTAACGAGCTAGCGGAAGCTAATGACATGACTGATGCTAACAAGCTAAGCGAGATAGATAGCTAACCTATAATGCATTATGCTCTCTGGCCTTATAGCAAGTACTAAAAGGCACTAATAAGTGTATTATAAGGCATTATAAGGAATTATAAATGCATTTATAAGGCATTTTATGTATGCCTCATTGAAAGTGTTACCAGGTCATGTCAGTATTTAGCTTAGATCAATAGGGGGTCAGTTGTTCATTGTTTACTATATGCTTAGAACTATTGCATGAATAGGTTTTTTATTATTATTTTGTCAAGTTAGTTGAGGTTAGCTGCTGCCTATGGAGATAGCTTCAGTCTGCAATTTAGGCCCCGTGTAGCTCAGTTGGTAGAGCATGGCGTTTGCAACGCCAGGGTTGTGGGTTCGTTTCCCTCACTAACTGTAAGTCGCTCTGGATAAGAGCGTCTGCTAAATATGTAAAATGTAATCGACTGAGGTTTTTTTGTAGTAATGTTTCAAAATGACTCCATGTAATGCTATGTGCATTTCTGTCTTTTCATAGAGGCTAGGTTGTCAGTACATCGACAGTGTTGAGTTGGTCCTTTGTCCGAGCGTGCATGTGTTGATGCATTTGTAGGCAGGTATGTGTGTGGCTGTGCACTGATTTTCTCCCTCAATAGTGTGCAGCGAATTCTGCTAGATGAAAAGCCAAAATGAGTATGACATCCTGGCGTTTAATGCAATTTTCTAAATGTCACATACTATAAAACGTTCTATTTTCACACACCCAACATGCCAACTAGAACGCAAGTTTGAGTATGCAGACACTGTCTGCGTCTTTACTTTGGATAGAGAGATGGAATGAACACTTCCTGATTAGCCTCGTTAAAATGGCATATGTTGTGATGAATCTGCTATTGTAATCTGAATTATTTTCTATTGTAATTTGCTGTGGCATATCAAGAACATCGTCGTGAAACTTCAGATAGAACAGCAACAAGTAAGTTTCCATCATACCCGTGGAATATTGATGATATACACAGAGCTGGAATGCTGTTTCAGCCTATCAGCATCCAGGATCCAAACTACCCGGCTTATAATAGCCCTTATACACATGGTTTTAAGTTTTGTCGATTATTCCGTGCTTCTGTACCTAATGCTAGCAGTAGATTCAGTCAGCAGGAAACCGAACTGTGGTAACACTTTACATTAAGTTTCCACTCGTGTAATAGCAGAAACAGTTGAACTCCATTACGATGCAACTACAAAGCAATTACTAAAATATTTCGTTGTGAATGTAGTAATCATACAATTACTACTCATGAGCATCGTTTTTATGTTCAAGTATGTTTATTGAATGTCATATCCAGTTCAGACCAATGGGTGGCACTCTCAGTCTTGGTAGCTAAGGCTTAGGTGTTGTACATTACGTAGTAATATATAGAATGACATAGCAATACATAGTATGACATAGCAATACATAGAATGACAGAACAATACATAGTATGGACAGGCAAGCTGCGGCATGGCTCTTAGTTGGCGGCCAGGGTCTGGTCCACCCAGGAACGGAGCTCGGTGACGCGGGCGTACACAGCGGGGGTAGTGGTGGAGCAACGGCTGCTGCCCCAGGACACAATACCGACCAGGGTCCAGACGTTGTCCTTCTCACAGACCAGGGGGCCACCGGAGTCACCCATGCAGGAGGTAGCACCAGCACCACCGGCACAGATCATGACGTCGGAGATGCTGCTGCCCCAGTGGTTCTTGCACTGCTCGTTGGACAGCAGGGGCAGAGCAGCCTGCTGCAGCAGGTTGGGGGTGTTGAGAGCATTATAGCGCTGCAGACCCCAGCCGGAGGTCACACAGGTCATGCCAGGTGAGAAAACGTCAGCGGTCTCAGCCAGGCACACGGGGGACACGTTGGTGTTCAGGACAGCGGGGGTGGCCAGCTTGATCAGGGAGATATCGTTGTTGATGGTACTGGGGTTCCACTTGGGGTGGGTGAACACCTGTGGGTGAGGAGGGGGGGGGGGGGGTTGAGGGAGAGAAGGGAGGGTTAGAACTGAAACCTTTATGAAATGGAGAGTTCTTGTGAAAAAGTGAAGCGGGTAGGACTATAGGACGACATTGCCTCAAGACTGATCGGATCAGCTGAGCTGGCGGGGGGGATAGGCTGATCCTAGATCAGTGCCTGAGGGGAACTTCTACCCAGAGCTATAGAGGAGGATGTGTGACTATGCATAGTCACTTTAACTATACCTACATGTACATATTACCTCAATTACCTCGACTAACCGGTGCCTCCGTACATTGACTCTGTACCGGTACCCCCTGTATATAGCCTTGCGACGGTTATTTAACTGTTATTTTACTGCTTTTATTTTTTACTTATCTATTGTTTACTTAACACTTATTTCTCTTAACTGCATTGTTGGTTTAGGGCTTGTAAGTAAGCATTTCACAGTAAGGTCTACACCTGTTGTATTCGGCGCATGTGACAAATGTGATTTGATGTGACTGTGCTGTACCTTAGCGGGCTTCAGGATCTGGATGTCCTCAGCGTTGTTGCCACTTCCCTTGTTGTGCTCTCCAATGATCACGCGGTGGTAGGTAGCGACGTTGCAGTGAGCGGCGGTGACCACCCAGTTCTCGTTGATCAGGGATCCCCCACAGAAGTGGAAGCCGCTGGTCTGCTGCAGAGATACCTGCCAGGGCCAGGAGTGGGGCACAGCCTCCTCACCGTTGACGATGCGGGCATAGCCAGACACCTCTGGCTTGATGGCGGGGATGCCGCAGCCTGGGGACATGAAAACATTTAGTAAACACTTAGCTCGTCATGTTTTATAACAACAGTAAATGCTCTGTTTAATGCAGCATACTCAACCATGGGCATCTAACGTACGGAAGTGTTTCCAAATAACATCACCAAGTGCTAGCAATGTAGCAGTAACACATATAATGAGAACAGTAGTGGTCCAAGATCAGAGCCTTGAGGAACTCCACAACTTACTTTTACACTGTTAGCATTAAAACAAGGGTTAAGGGTTAAATCAAGGAGGTAAGACTGTAGGTAAAGAGAAGGCGTGAATACTCACCGTAGGCGGCGCTGACGAAGGCGAGACAGGACACGAACCAGAGGAAAGCCATTGTGAGAATGTGACAGTCTAGTGGACGGGGGACCCTATTTATCCCCAAACCCCATATGTCTATAACCAAATGGGAGACCGAGGTGTGTCCGCCTAACTCGAAAGCTGAGGATAACCATGGTAGAATATTAACCTCAAGGAGGGGGATGATGTATCCAGCTGCTTATCAACGCTGGGCGATCAGACAGTTCTCAGCCATGTAACAGGAGGGTTAGAGCAGTTATCAAAACATGACCTTCAGTGCTCTCGGAAACTGTGCTCCAAACAGCCTCTTACCATCACAGAGGGACTGGCCCCCTTCCCACTCAACCCAATTACAATGCCACATTTTAGTCATTGTTTAGCAGACGATCTTATCCAGAGTGACTTGCAGTTAGTGCATTCATCTTAAGAGAGCTAGGTGAGACAACCACATATCACAGTCGTAGTAACCACATTTTTCCTCAATAAAGCAGCTATCAGCAAAGTCAGTGCTAGTAAGAAAAAGACAAGTGAGAGTATTAGTGCAAGAAAGGCATCCTCTCCTCCTCTTCCTCATCTTCCAGGGTTCATTAAGACATAAGAAGCAGTCGGAACACTTTGTCAGATGAACCATTACATACAGCATGTGGGACTTGTTGTTTCATTAGGAAAGGGTCATTGGAGTATTTAGATCAATGGTTGATTGTTTTCATTCGATATACTGTATCCAACGTGATTGTGAATGAATTTGAGTCTCATGTAGAATCATTTTGGTGTTTTCTTTTTCTTTTCCTGTTGTTCTTCTCATCTTGTAGTGATGTAACACTATTTCCTACACGTATCCTTGGTTAGCATGATAACACATTTCCATTCCCTCTCCACATGACCTCGCCACTGGAAAAAACACACCTGCAATTCAAATCCCGAGATAACAACTCTCTCTCGGGTCCCTTTCACTTTGTGGTCCTCTAGTTTGTCTTTTAATTTACTTAAATCACTGAAGATTATTACACACTAAAAAGTCAATGCCAAACAGATGTTTAGTGTTCAATGACTTTGTCATCGATCCTTACACCTCTATCAGGCTAACATAATGTTAGCTATTACTATCAGGCTAACATAATGTTACCTATTAATATCAGGCTAACATAATGTTACCTATTACTATCAGGCTAACATAATGTTACCTATTACTATCAGGCTAACATAATGTTACCTATTAATATCAGGCTAACATAATGTTACCTATTACTATTAATGTTTTGAGCTATGCATCTCAGCTATTGAGAATGTTGAACTTTTTGTGTGTTTTTAGCGAAAAATATGTTTTACGTTTCTATATTTGTGTTTGACGGTTGTGTTAATTGTTTTGAGAGCATTGAACATCCCTCATTGTGTCAAACCAATTGAGAAAAAATGAAAGTCTACATTGTCACGGCCCATCCATACTGCCATATCCATACTGCCTTATCCATACTGCCATATCCATACTGCCATATCCATACTGCCATATCCATACTGCCATATCCTCACTGCCATATCCTACTGCCATATCCATACTGCCCCGCCCCCCTACCCCCATTTTATTTTTCAACACTCCCTACAGTCTATAGTATTGACATTTATTTTGAAATAATAAAACATCAACATATTTGTTTTTCCTGTTTTAAAAATGAAAACAGTAGCAACTTAATGTAAAGTGCAACTTAATGTAAAGTGCAACTTAATGTAACTCAATGTAAAGTCTGACCCAATGTAACTTCATGTAAAGTCTGACCCCAAAAGCCAAGGTGTTGTATCTCTGCTGTGCTCCCACCATTCACAGTCCTCAATAGACCTGCGTAGCTGTGCTCCCACCAGTCACAGTCCTCAATAGACCTGTATTGCTGTGCTCCCACCAGTCACAGTCCTCAATAGACCTGTTTAGCTGTGCTCCCACCAGTCACAGTCCTCAATAGACCTGTATAGTGGGGTTGATGAAGGTTGGCCAAGACCACATGCTTTCAGAGCCACTCACCCCGACCACCTGGCTTTTACCCTGATTTACTGCGTGTTCACTGTGATTAAAGCAGTCCCCTTTGTTCATTAAACACCCTGTTGTTTTCTTTGTGTCCGTTGCGAGTTCCCTAACTATTTCCTGTTGAACGCCAGCAGAGGCCAAGCGAGGCAGTAACCACCAGCCTCGACGTTAATTCTCTCAACATGACTAAGAATGAGTGTCCCTTTGTAAACTGTGACTTTGCCTGGAGGAGTTTCCTACACCACCTCCTCCATAGGGTTTTTTATTCACCCTCGTTAAAGAAACAAATGTGTTTTTATTTCTGAGGTTAAAACCCTCTTTTTTGAGGGAGACCAGTCAAGATTCAGTAGGAGATTTCAGTGAAAAAGTGGCACATTATGGTGAGGGAGAGTTGCTTTGCAATTAAAGGCTAATTGAAGCTGTTACATGCTTCAAACACGTGTGGTAATAATATTATATAATATAGTAATATAATGGTAATAATATAATAATATAATTTATGCCATTTAGCAGACGCTTTTATCCAAGTGACTTAGTCATGCGTGCATTCACTTTTCGTGCGGGTGGTCCCGGGAATCGAACCCACTATCCAGGCATTGCAAGCTCCATGCTCTACTGAGCTACAGAGGACATACACATGAAATGTGTGGCCCGTCACGTGAAGTACGGGTACTCACTATGTGTTTCTTTCACTAGGGCTCGTGTTGTTAGTTACTGTCTCTCTCTCGCTCAATGCTCTCCTTATTGCATTAGATGATATCTCAAAGATGCTACAGTTTAAAGAGTCCAGCGAGCCGTTAGCCTCATTCCTTCACTAAATCTGTGTCTCTCTCTGCTCTCTCCACAGTCTCACTGCGCGGTATGGTAGTCCCCCGGGTCACAGTGGAATAGGAGCAGCACCACAGAAGAAAAACACAAGGTATGACTCTTATATCAAGGCTGACTTCCTGGCACCTGCTTTCAGTTCATGTCGACAGGAATGACACATATTTGTACTTTACTATACAATCTACTTGTGAAAATCTTACATTTGGTTTGGTAGTACATCTATCTTAGAGGATTTCATAATGTGTTAGCTATTCTTTATTATTATTATTCTCTGATGCGAAACTAGCATCGGCACTTGGCGACCCCAGGCGTAAATGACGTGTGTGAGCCATTTAACTCAAGACTATGTGGATTAGGGGCCATTTTACAGAATGTTGCATTGACCAGAATGGCTTGCTGTGGTGGCTTCCAGCCAGTTGCAGTCTCCTATACTTCCCCAGGCTGTGTCCCTACAGTTGTCTGGCTCCCAGAGCATTTGTTTCTCCTTAGTGGTAGTGGCTGGTGGGAACCAGCATGCTGGCAAATTACTTCACGCAAACCCCGTCAAGCTATGTGAAATATGTGCTGGACAGCATTGACAACCCTATGGGTGGTATTTCCCTTCACAGCATTGACAACCCTATGGGTGATATTCCCCCTCACAACATTGCCAACCCTATGGGTGGTATTCCCCTTCACAGCATTGCCAACCCTATGGGTGATATTCCCCTTCACAGCATTGACAACCCTATGGGTGGTATTTCCCTTCACAGCATTGCCAACCCTATGGGTGGTATTCCCCTTCACAGCATTGCCAACCCTATGGGTGGTATTCCCCTTCACAGCATTGCCAACCCGTCAGCTGATGTTTTTGCTGAATAGCCGTGTAGAAGCTGCTTTGCTCTCACACCCAACTGTTAACTAAGGGAAGAGTGGCAGTGTTACGTTTCAAGTTTTGTTAGTCATATATCCAATATTTACACATGTATCAGAGAAAGGGGGGATTGGGTGTTTAAAGTGTTTAAATTGTGCAGTATTATTACTGTAAATAAGAGTCTGGTTGTGATTTGTGTGTGTGTGTGTGTGTGTGTGTGTGTTGTGTGTGTGTGTGTGTAGCGTGTGTTTGGATGTGTGTACTGAGTGTGTGTGTGAGTGAGTGTGTGTGTGTGATAAGGTGCGGAAAGTCAGTGCAGGTGGTTAGTCCAGTTCAAGTGTTCAGCAGTCTGATGGCTTGTAGATAGAAACTGTCTCTGAGCCTGTTGGTATCAGACCTCATGCTCCGATACTGTCTGCCCGACAGTAAGGAGAGAACAGCTCGTGGCTGGGGTGTGTGTGGGTCCTTGATGATGCTGCAGGCCTTCCTCAGGCACCATTTTGAGTAGATGTCCTGGATGGGTGGGAGCACGGTCCCAGTGATGTACTGGGCTGTCTTCACCACCCGTTGGAGGGCCGTGATGTAACTGGTCAGGACGCTCTCGATGGTGCAGCGGTAGTATTTGGAGAGGCCGTCTTAGGAAGTAGACGCTGCTGCGCCCTTTTGACAAGTGTTGTTGGTCCATGTCGTCCTCGGTTGTTGGTCCATGTCGTCCTCGGTTGTTGGTCCATGTCGTCCTCGGTTGTTGGTCCATGTCGTCCTCCCACTAACACTTTAATTAAAATGAATACCTTATATTATTATCCAAATTGAAACTCTATCGATTGGATAAGACGGCAGATGAGATTTCAGAACAAAAGGAGTTGGCCAGAGTTACTTTTTCCCTGACCCAGTGCAATGCCCAGCCATTCATCTCCCTGTTGGCCTCCTCGCTCCCTCATTACCTTGGCTAATGAAACTGGGCCTGTCCCATCTGGCCAACCACACCAGGACTGATTGGGTTTCTTAGCTAGCCCTGCCTGCAGCCAGAGCCGGATAGAGACTATAGTGTGTGTGTGTGTGTGTGTCTGTCTGTGTCTGTGTGTGTGGGTTGGTGACAGACTGCACTGTTTTGGGGGCCAGGGTCAGCACTCTCTGGGCCTTCCAGGGGGCTGGTGCGATACGGCTAGGAGCCAGCGGCAGTCGTAAAATGACAGACGATACGAGTCCACAGGGTCTCACTACACCCGACCTGGAGAACACACGGCCTGTGTGAGTTGTCCTGAGCCTCTAATGAAATGAAATGGACTGGACAGATTTTTCTGATGCAGATTGATATGTGAAAATAAAATCTTGTGGTCATGTGACCTGCTCCCATAACTTGAAACTAACTACATTGTTGATGAAGAGTGCACGTTTTATTAGATTAATTCTCGCTGGGAAGGGGTCAGGGTAGAAATGTACCAAATGATATAATTCACTGAAAGTATTGTACATGAAGACATAGCCCTCTAGTTTCAGTTTGTGGCCATAAAATGTGCCTTTAATTTACTGCAGAGGATAACCATTGGGCATGAACAGTTGTTTTATTGTGAGGTACTAGCCTACACCCCCAGGGTGATTTAATGTCAACAACATTATTCAGGAAATACAGTAGATGTGGTTTCCGAGCACAATGGTAGCCTCACACATTGGTGAAAGCTCCTAAGCTATGTTTGATTGTCTGAAGGCCTTAGTTTTGTTTTATATCTGAGGATATTGTGCCTTGAAAATGAAACTCAAGCAACTCTCCAACTATTGCTCCACAATGCATTTAATGGATCTCCAACCACTAAACACATTGCGGGGCATACAGGAATGCCAGTGTGCTGGACCTCCTTTCTCTAATATGAAAGTTTTTCCTCTATGCACCTAGAGCTGTGTAAAGTGTGCAAACAAGCCTCTTTTCAATTGATCTTGAGCTTAAAATCCCTACTCCACTCTCTCAGTAAACTTGCTTACCTGGGTCCTATTCACTAGGAACCAAGCGGAAGCAAACAGACTGAAATGGGGAGGGACTACCTGAACTTGTCCAATAAGTAACTCTTGTTTTTCGTTGGAAAATGTTTTCCATTGCAAAGCATTTTGTTACATTTTGCTACAGTGTGCACGAATGGATACACCCCTGGTGTATTGACAGTGTTCCGGCATCTCACCCTCAACTAACAGCACTACTTTTTAAAAAAATGGCCATTTAAATTCAGCGTGTTCGCAGCAGAAAGTGATGCTAATAGAAGCGATGCCAGGGAAGCTTTAGTAATTGTCCTGAATATACAGCGACAGATGTGCTGACTTGCTAAGAAACCTGTTATTCAATTTGACTGACTCCCCTGAGCTTCCTGTCAGAGGCGCACACACACACATTTTGTTTCATACATACTGTCTGTTTTATACTGATAATATTCATTCTCTTTTGGATAGGTATGTACTGTCAAGCACACACACAGACACACACTCTCTCTCTCACTAACATAGATAATGGGCTGAGCATATGGCATGGTCTTCTGTTCAGGTGGGCTGTAGAAGGGCGCTGAGGCCAGGATTACACCGGGGTTGACTACCCCCTCGCGCGAGAAGGCTCAAACGAGCTAACCACGAGCCACAGCAAGATTTCGGAGAAGATCAGAGAGAGAGAAGATAAGGAGATACGAAGAGGCTATGATAGACTCGGAAAAGCGAAGATCGAGGACAGGACTAAGAAGAGCTCGCGCAGAGAGAGATGCGCGCAAGAGAAAGCGCTGCGCGCAAGGCGAGCGAGAACAGAAGAGCGCTCTCTAGGAGCCCTGCTCAGCGGGCAGCTCTCAACGAGAGGTAGAGAGACTCGCGAGAAGAAAGAAGACAAAAGAGAACTGCGCACATCGAAGCGAAATGACCGGAGCATTCGCTCTCTCTCGAGAGGAGAGCTCTCTCTCTCTTACCTCTCTCTCTTCTCTCTATGTCTCTATATATCTCTCTCTCACTCTCCCTCTACCTTCTCCACTCTTTCTCTCTCGTCTCTCTCTCTCTACTTGCTCTCTCTCTCTCTCTCTCTCCCTCTCTATTATTTTTTTTTTGGGGGGGGGAGTGGGGGTGTTGTTTTGCAGTGAGCACAGAGACACCCTGTCTGTTTGTAGCCGTTTCCTCTAGCCCTGACTGACAGGGAGAATAATGTGTCTGGCCACCCCTCTCGCTCTTCCTCATCTTAAAAATAGCACTGAGTGCTGGAGACCGTGGGTACTTCCCAAATGGCACTGGTCAAAAATAGTGCACTAAATAGGGAATACGGTGCCATTTGGAACACAGAGAGCCGGGAGTGACATCAGATACATCTTAGTTAGCCCCGTCTCGGAAATGAATGATTATAGCTTTGTTGAATGTTATTATTTCTGATAATGACACATTGATGGCAGGATGTGGTGAAATATGTATTGACAGGGTGATGAAAGTGTATCATTACCAAGTGGATGGAGCTTCTAGCATATCTACATGACCTGGTTTCTTATTTGACCATCCGTCCATTTTCCAGCCCAATGATGTCTAGAACCACCCACACTCATCAGTCACTGTACCTAGACATTGTAGGATGCCATTTGGGACACAGACGTTGAGTAATGCATTGATCCTTGGGTTGAAGACTGGAGTTAAGAGACTCCTGCATCACAATAGAAGGAGTTAGTGTTACTCTTGTTCCAACAATCATAACATGACGTATGGATTGACTCAGTCAGAACCAGTCCGTTGCCTGCGTTGCACGAGTTGGCTTTTTACTCCGAAACAGAAACAAAAGGTACACATGTTTACTCGTCACAGTATGATTTCTGCCACCATCTCATTTCACTGACATTTTCAGCCGCATACGTACCCAATTCGGGATGTGTGTTTTATTGTCTGTTTGACACACGGTCTTGTTTACTATCAAACAGATGACTGTCTATTCTAGATTATTTAAAATTCAGAACGAAAGAGGCTGAGTCTCAAATGACACCCTAGTCCCTATATAGTGCACTACTTTTGACCAGATCCCTACTGTAAGTAGTGCAAACAATAGAGAATAGTGTGTCATTTGGGACTTAATAGAGTATTTTCCCTAGATGCATTACTGCAGGGCCAAGATGTTAATTCTCTGGTTGTATTGTTATGACCCTTAGCCATTACTTCACATTGACATCTAGTCCCTCAAGCTTCCTCTGTCTGCTTCTGTCACAGCTTTATGCGCTGTTGTTAAGTCTCTGTTTCCAGGGTTACGATGCCTAATTAAACTATCATACTCCCCTTTAATTTCCAATTTTTTAGGAGTGTCAGTTTTAAAGAGCCAGACATAAATGATGTGGATTGGATAATGGGGTAGTTTAGATGATGGTATCCCCCATGGGGAAATGGGCTTAGCATCTATCATGAGACAACAATAAAGAGCAGTTAATACTGTTCACCAGGTCTCTCTCTCTCTCTCTCTCGCTCTTTCTGTATCACTCTAAAGAGGCTTAGAGGGGCATGTGTGTTTGGGGCATGAATGAAGGTTTTGTGTGTTTGCGGACCGGTAATCAAAACTGTATGAACTTCATAGAAATGTATTGTAATGGTCAAATTATTAGATAATTTTCTTTGAGATGTGATCATGTTTTTCCAGGACAAAGGCATATTTTTATAGATTTCACTTTCTCGTAAAAGTCTGCAAAGTTGGACGTCAGCTACATATTTTCCAGGGAAACCGGCCAATTATCTCACTGATAAAACGTCCAAAACAAAGTAAAAGTTCCCAGAAAAGGACCGTTCATGATGACCAGTCATTTATTCATGCCCAAGACAAAGTTACCTCACCAGATGCATTGAAGTGTCCAGCTTGACTCAAGGACTGTGGGTGCATTCCGTGCGTGTTACACTGAGCCTTTTAGCCATGCTGATTGGTTAATCTCAGTGTTTAACCAATCAGGAGGTTGTTTGGGTGCAGTACTGAGAAGACCTTGCTCTGTCAGTGTCAGTGTAGTGGACTGTGAGATCCGTTAGCATGCTTTAACAAGTCTCTAATGGAATAATGAGCCTGTGACCTCTCCCCCCTCTGGGACTTGTGACTGTGCTCCAGCTGTGGCATCAGAAGTAAACATCCACATTAGACAATTTGTCCATAGATGCTGAAGTGTGTATTCTCTTGTGTGTGTCCCTGAGAATACATGTGATCCTCTCAGCACAAAAATAACTAGGTGTGTGTGTGTGTGTGTGTGTGTGTGTGTGCGTGCGTGCGTGTGCACGTGCGTGTGCGTGCGTGCGTGAGCTTACATCCATATAACCGTGTGTGGGCTCTTATGCATGTCCCTGAGATAACATAATGGTACTTTCAGCACAACACTAACACACTACCTAGCTAGACTCTTCTTTTTGTTGATCTGTGTGTGTTCAGGCTTTCTCCTCACCCTGCTGTGTTTTCGTCTGCAGGTTGCCAGGGCCGACCAGGGTGTCCGCTGCAGGCAGCGGGGCCCCCAAGGGCCAAGGATCCTCCAACCTCAACAGGAGGAGTCAGAGCTTTAACAGCATCGATAAGAGCAAGCCTCTCCAGTATGCTAGTGGCAATGACAGAGGTAGGTGAACCTAGAATCAGGTAGAAGCAGGCCTGAGCCGTATGAGGTGGTCCGGACTGAGCCGAGCCGAACCAAACTGTTCTAAGATAGCCTTGTTACACATCTTCCACAGTTGCTGGAACCATGATGAAAAATACTTAATGTAAAAAAGAAAATTGCAGAACCAGCGCAGTTTGATTAGGATCGGCACAATAGTGTGAAAACGGTAATATGGTGTCTAAACTCACCTTCCATGAGGATTAAACTGGATAAAGAAAACATCTAGGGTCTTAGAATTAATTATCTTACTCCTGCGTTTGTACTACTGTTTTCCTCAGTATCGGTCACTACCATTCAGAATTTATATTTCTGAGCGCATGGTCCACAAAATGCACTAGGTGGCGCCTCTGATAAACACAGACACAGACAGACACACACACACACCCACTATAGTCTCTATCCGGCTCTGGCTGCAGGCAGGGCTAGCTAAGAAACCCAATCAGTCCTGGTGTGGTTGGCCTGATGGGACAGGCCCAGTTTCATTAGCCAAGTTGTGTTTAACATAATGACACTACAGTCTGCTGAATCATATCAGCAATGTAGTTGACTAGAGTTGGACTGTATTCCATTAGGGAGAAGGCAAGGCAGTGCATTTCACAGCATGGTGAGTGGTGGTGGTTAGACTGCAGAGCTGTGGCTGTGGGGCTGAATCACACCACGCACCACCAAGCATAATAACCTGCTATAATGACAAATGTTGTCACACGCACGCTTTCCTTATTTTATTATTGTCATATTACTTTTATCAAAAAGTAAGTGGATGAAATAATTTTTCTGCATCCCAAATGGCACCCTATTCCCTATATAGTGCACTACTTTTGACCAGGGCCATATGGGCTTGGGGAAAAAGAGGCTACAACAAGGCTCATCTTTTGTCAACGACCCCCTACCTTGTGGTTCTTTAAGTTTACAGTAAATTCGTAGATATTGAATATTTGGCTGTCAGTATTTTACAATTCTCGTACAGTGTTGGTACTGTTCCCTATACTGCATAGTGCACTACAGTGTTGGTACTGTCCCTATACTGCATAGTGCACTACAGTGTTGGTACTGTTCCCTATACTGCATAGTGCACTACAGTGTTGGTACTGTTCCCTATACTGCATAGTGCACTACAGTGTTGGTACTGTTCCCTATACTGCATAGTGCACTACAGTGTTGGTACTGTTCCCTATACTGCATAGTGCACTACAGTGTTGGTACTGTTCCCTATACTGCATAGTGCACTACAGTGTTGGTACTGTTCCCTATACTGCATAGTGCACTACAGTGTTGGTACTGTTCCCTATACTGCATAGTGCACTACAGTGTTGGTACCGTTCCCTATACTGCATAGTGCACTACAGTGTTGGTACCATTCCCTATACTGTTAGTAGAGTTATGCTAGTTAGTAGAGTTATGGTCATCAGTAGAGTTATGGTCGTCAGTAGAGTTATGCTAGTTAGTAGAGTTATGCTAATCAGTATAGTTATGGTCATCAGTAGAGTTATGGTCGTCAGTAGAGTTATGCTAGTTAGTAGAGTTATGCTAGTTAGTAGAGTTATGGTCATCAGTAGAGTTATGGTCATCAGTAGAGTTATGGTCATCAGTAGAGTTATGGTCGTCAGTGGAGTTATGCTCTTCAGTAGAGTTATGGTCGTCAGTGGAGTTATGCTCATCAGTAGAGTTATGGTCATCTTAGAGTTATGGTCATCAGTGGAGTTATGGTAGTTAGTAGAGTTATGGTCATCAGTAGAGTTATGGTCATCAGTAGAGTTATGGTCGTCAGTAGAGTTATGGTCGTCAGTGGAGTAATGGTCATCAGTAGAGTTATGGTCATCAGTGGAGTTATGGTCGTCAGTGGCGTTATGGTCGTCAGTGGAGTTATGGTCATCAGTAGAGTTATGGTCATCAGTAGAGTTATGGTCATCAGTGGAGTTATGGTCGTCAGTAGAGTTATGGTCATCAGTAGAGTTATGTCATCAGTGGAGTTATGGTCGTCAGTGGAGTTATGGTCGTCAGTGGAGTTATGGTCGTCAGTGGAGTTATGGTCATCAGTGGAGTTATGGTCGTCAGTAGAGTTATGGTCGTCAGAAGTTATGGTCTTCAGTAGAGTTATGGTCGTCAGTAGAGTTAAGGTCATCAGTAGAGTTATGGTCATCAGTGGAGTTATGGTCGTCAGTGGAGTTATGGTCGTCAGTAGAGTTATAGTCATCAGTAGAGTTATGGTCATCAGTAGAGTTATGGTCATCAGTGGAGTTATGGTAGTTAGTAGAGTTATGGTCATCAGTAGAGTTATGGTCATCAGTAGAGTTATGGTCGTCAATAGAGTTATGGTCATCAGTAGAGTTATCGTCATGAGTGGAGTTATGGTCGTCAGTGGAGTTATGGTCGTCAGTAGAGTTACAGTGGGGGAAAAAAGTATTTAGTCAGCCACCAATTGTGCAAGTTCTCCCACTTAAAAAGATGAGAGAGGCCTGTAATTTTCATCATAGGTACACGTCAACTATGACAGACAAATTGAGAAGAAAAAAAATCCAGAAAATCACATTGTAGGATTTTTTATGAATTTATTTGCAAATTATGGTGGAAAATAAGTATTTGGTCACCTACAAACAAGCAAGATTTCTGGCTCTCACAGACCTGTAACTTCTTCTTTAAGAGGCTCCTCTGTCCTCCACTCGTTACCTGTATTAATGGCACCTGTTTGAACTTGTTATCAGTATAAAAGACACCTGTCCACACCCTCAAACAGTCACACTCCAAACTCCACTATGGCCAAGACCAAAGAGCTGTCAAAGGACACCAGTAACAAAATTGTAGACCTGCACCAGGCTGGGAAGACTGAATCTGCAATAGGTAAGCAGCTTGGTTTGAAGAAATCAACTGTGGGAGCAATTATTAGGAAATGGAAGACATACAAGACCACTGATAATCTCCCTCGATCTGGGGCTCCACGCAAGATCTCACCCCGTGGGGTCAAAATGATCACAAAAACAGTGAACAAAAACCCCAGAACCACACGGGGGGACCTAGTGAATGACCTGCAGAGAGCTGGGACCAAAGTAACAAAGCCTACCATCAGTAACACACTACGCCGCCAGGGACTCAAATCCTGCAGTGCCAGACGTGTCCCCCTGCTTAAGCCAGTACATGTCCAGGCCCGTCTGAAGTTTGCTAGAGTGCATTTGGATGATCCAGAAGAGGATTGGGAGAATGTCATATGGTCAGATGAAACCAAAATAGAACTTTTTGGTAAAAACTCAACTCGTCGTGTTTGGAGGACAAAGAATGCTGAGTTGCATCCAAAGAACACCATACCTACTGTGAAGCATGGGGGTGGAAACATCATGCTTTGGGGCAGTTTTTCTGCAAAGGGACCAGGACGACTGATTCGTGTAAAGGAAAGAATGAATGGGGCCATGTATCGTGAGATTTTGAGTGAAAACCTCCTTCCATCAGCAAGGGCATTGAAGATGAAACGTGGCTGGGTCTTTCAGCATGACAATGATCCCAAACACACCGCCCGGGCAACGAAGGAGTGGCTTCGTAAGAAGCATTTCAAGGTCCTGGATTGGCCTAGCCAGTCTCCAGATCTCAACCCCGTAGAAAATCTTTGGAGGGAGTTGAAAGTCCGTGATGCCCAGCGACAGCCCCAAAACATCACTGCTCTAGAGGAGATCTGCATGGAGGAATGGGCCAAAATACCAGCAACAGTGTATGAAAACCTTGTGAACTTACAGAAAACGTTTGACCTGTGTCATTGCCAACAAAGGGTATATAACAAACTATTGAGAAATTTTTGTTATTGACCAAATACTTATTTTCCACCATAATTTGCAAATCAATTCATTAAAAATCCTACAATGTGATTTTCTGGATTTTTTTTCTCATTTTGTCTGTCATAGTTGACGTGTACCTATGATGAAAATTACAGACCTCTCTCATCTTTTTAAGTGGGAGAACTTGCACAATTGGTGGCTGACTAAATACTTTTTTTCCCCACTGTATGGTCGTCAGAAGTTATGGTCTTCAGTAGAGTTATGGTTGTCAGTAGAGTTATGGTCAACAGTAGAGTTATGGTCGTCAGTGGAGTTATGGTCGTCAGTAGAGTTATGGTCATCAGTGGAGTTATGGTCGTCAGTGGAGTTATGGTCATCAGTGGAGTTATGGTCGTCAGTAGAGTTATGGTCGTCAGAAGTTATGGTCTTCAGTAGAGTTATGGTCGTCAGTAGAGTTATGCTAGTTAGTAGAGTTATGGTCGTCAGTAGAGTTATGCTAGTTAGTAGAGTTATGCTAGTTAGTAGAGTTATGGTTGTTGGTAGAGTTATGCTAGTTAGTAGAGTTATGGTTGTTGGTAGAGTTATGGTTGTTGGTAGAGTTATGCTAGTTAGTAGAGTTATGGTTGTTGGTAGAGTTATGCTAGTTAGTATAGTTATGGTTGTTGGTAGAGTTATGATAGTTAGTAGAGTTATGGTTGTTGATAGAGTTATGCTAGTTAGTAGAGTTATGCTAGTTAGTAGAGTTATGGTTGTTGGTAGAGTTATGCTAGTTAGTAGAGTTATGGTTGTTGGTAGAGTTATGCTAGTTAGTAGAGTTATGGTTGTTGGTAGAGTTATGCTAGTTAGTAGAGTTATGGTCATCAGTAGAGTTATGGTCGTCAGTAGAGTTATGGTCATCAGTAGAGTTATCGTCGTCAGTGGAGTTATGGTCGTCAGTAGAGTTATGGTCGTCAGAAGTTATGGTCTTCAGTAGAGTTATGGTTGTCAGTAGAGTTATGGTCAACAGTAGAGTTATGGTCGTCAGTGGAGTTATGGTCGTCAGTAGAGTTATGGTCATCAGTAGAGTTATGGTCATCAGTGGAGTTATGGTCGTCAGTGGAGTTATGGTTGTCAGTAGAGTTATGGTCGTCAGAAGTTATGGTCTTCAGTAGAGTTATGCTAGTTAGTAGAGTTATGGTCGTCAGTAGAGTTATGCTAGTTAGTAGAGTTATGCTAGTTAGTAGAGTTATGCTAGTTAGTAGAGGTATGCTAGTTAGTAGAGTTATGGTCGTCAGTAGAGTTATGCTAGTTAGTAGAGTTATGCTAGTTAGTAGAGTTATGGTTGTTGGTAGAGTTATGCTAGTTAGTAGAGTTATGGTTGTTGGTAGAGTTATGGTTGTTGGTAGAGTTATGCTAGTTAGTAGAGTTATGGTTGTTGGTAGAGTTATGCTAGTTAGTATAGTTATGGTTGTTGGTAGAGTTATGCTAGTTAGTAGAGTTATGGTTGTTGGTAGAGTTATGCTAGTTAGTAGAGTTATGCTAGTTAGTAGAGTTATGGTTGTTGGTAGAGTTATGCTAGTTAGTAGAGTTATGGTTGTTGGTAGAGTTATGCTAGTTAGTAGAGTTATGGTTGTTGGTAGAGTTATGCTAGTTAGTAGAGTTATGGTTGTTGGTAGATAAAACACAAGGAGGGGATACTGTATATCAGTCCATAAAACAGAGGGAGAGAAGGAGGGGGGATGGTGTAAGTGTGGCGTTAAAATAGTCTGTCAGAGTTCAGGGCCAGTCAAAGGGAGAGCAGGAGGGTTGTCCTCGTTTTCCTCATGCTTCTCTATCTCTACCTTCTTCTCCGCACTTTCACCTCCTCTCCCCTCTCTCTCTCTCAATTCAATTTCAATTCAATTTAAGGGCTTTATTGGCATGGGAAACGTATATTAACATTGCCAAAGCAAGTGAAGTAGATAGTAAACAAAAGTGAAATAAACAATAAATATTAACAGTAAACATTACACTCAGAAGTTCCAAAAGAATAAAGACATTTCAAATGTCATATTATGTATATATACAGTGTTGTAACAATGTGCAAATAGTTAAAGTACAAATGGGAAAATAAATAAACATAAATATGGGTTGTATTTATAATGGTGTTTGTTCTTCACTGGTTGCCCTTTTCTTGTGGCAAAAGGTCACAAATCTTGCAGCTGTGATGGCACACTGTGGTTTTTCATCCAGTAGATAAGGGAGTTTATCAAAATTGGGTTTGTTTTCTAATTCTTTGTGGATCTCTGTAATCTGAGGGAAATATGTGTCTCTAATATGGTCATACATTTGGCAGGAGGTTAGGAAGTGCAGATCAGTTTCCACCTCATTTTGTGGGCAGTGTGCACATAGCCTGTCTTCTCTTGAGAGCCAGGTCTGCCTACGGCGGCCTTTCTCAATAGCAAGGCTATGCTCACTGAGTCTGTACATAGTCAAAGCTTTCCTTAAATTTGGGTCAGTCACAGTGGTCAGGCATTCTGCCACTGTGTACTCTCTGTTTAGAGCCAAATAGCATTCTAGTTTGCTCTGTTTTTTTGTTAATTCTTTCCAATGTGTCAAGTAATTCTCTTTTTGTTTTCTCATGATTTGGTTGGGTCTAATTGTGTTGTTGTTGTTGTCCTGGGGCTCTGTGTGGTCTGTTTGTGTTTGTAAACAGAGCCCCAGTACCAGCTTACTTAGGGGACTCTTCTCCAAGTTCATCTCTCTGTAGGTGATGGCTTTGTTATGGAAGGTTTGGGAATCACTTCCTTTTAAGTGGTTATAGAATTTAACGGCTCTTTTCTGGATTTTGATAATTAGTGGGTATCGGCCTAATTCTGCTCTGCATGCATTATTTGGTGTTTTTCGTTGTACACTGAGGATATTTTTGCAGAATTCTGCAAGCAGAGTCTCAATTTGGTGTTTGTCCCATTTTGTGAATTCTTGGTTGGTGAGCGGACCCCAGACCTCACAACCATAAAGGGCAATGGGTTCTATAACTGAATCAAGTATTTTTTGCCAGATCCTAATTGGTATGTCAAATTGTATGTTCCTTTTGATGGCATAGAAGGCCCTTCTTGCCTTGTCTCTCAGATCGTTCACAGCTTTGTGGAAGTTACCTGTGGCGCTGATGTTTAGGCCGAGGTATGTATAGTTTTTTGTGTGCTCTAGGGCAACGGTGTCTAGATGGAATTTGTATTTGTGGTCCTGGCAACTGGACCTTTTTTGGAACACCATTATTTTTGTCTTACTGAGATTTACTGTCAGGGCCCAGGTCTGACAGAATCTGTGCGGAATATCTAGGTGCTGCTGTAGGCCCTCCTTGGTTGGTGACAGAAGCACCAGATCATTAGCAAACAGTAGACATTTGACTTCAGATTCTAGTAGGGTGAGGCCGGGTGCTGCAGACTGTTCTAGTGCCCTCGCTAATTCGTTGATATATATGTTGAAGAGGGTGGGGCTTAAACTGCATCCATGTCTCACCCCACGGCCCCGTGGAAAGAAATGTGTGTGTTTTTTTGCCAATTTTAACCGCACACTTGTTGTTTGTGTACATGGATTTTATAATGTCGTATGTTTTTCCCCCAACACCACTTTCCATCAATTTGTATAGCAGACCCTCATGCCAAATTGAGTCAAAAGCTTTTTTGAAATCAACAAAGCATGAGAAGACTTTGCCTTTGTTTTGGTTTGTTTGTTTGTCAATTAGGGTGTGCAGGGTGAATACGTGGTCTGTCGTATGGTAATTTGGTAAAAAGCCAATTTGACATTTGCTCAGTACATTGTTTTCACTGAGGAAATTAACTAGTCTGCTGTTAATGATAATGCAGAGGATTTTCCCAAGGTTGCTGTTGACGCATATCCCACGGTAGTTATTGGGGTCAAATTTGTCTCCAATTTTGTGGATTGGGATGATCAGTCCTTGGTTCCAAATATTGGGGAAGATGCCAGAGCTAAGGATGATGTTAAAGAGTTTAAGTATAGCCAATTGGAATTTGTGGTCTGTATATTTTATCATTTCATTGAGGATACCATCAACACCACAGGCCTTTTTGGGTTGGAGGGTTTGTATTTTGTCCTGTAGTTCATTCAATGTAATTGAAGAATCGAGTGGATTCTGGTAGTCTTTAATAGTTGATTCTAAGATTTGCATTTGATCATGTATATTTTTTTGCTGTTTGTTCTTTGTAATAGGGCCAAAAATATTGGAGAAGTGGTTTACCCATACATCTCCGTTTTGGATAGATAGCTCTTCGTGTTGTTGTTTGTTTAGTGTTTTCCAATTTTCCCAGAAGTGGTTAGTCTCTATGGATTCTTCAATTACATTGAGCTGATTTCTGACATGCTGTTCCTTCTTTTTTCGTAGTGTATTTCTGTATTGTTTTAGTGATTCATCATAGTGAAGGTGTCTCTCTCTCTCTCTCTCTCTCTCTCTCTCTCTCTCTCTCTCTCTCTCTCTCTCTCTCTCTCTCTCTCTCTCTCTCTCTCTCTCTATCCCTCTCTCTCCCTCTTTCCATACACGTTAACGCAGAACAACAGTCTACCAACCATGAACAGACCCCGGTCACCAACCCTGTTTATTTTGGCCAGAGCCAGCCCAGTAGATTTACACCAGTGCCTTCACTGTCCCTTGTGTCCCGTTTGCCCAGACCTGTTTTCACAGTGGTAGCCTCCCAAATGGCAGCCAATTCCCTTTATAGTGCACTACTTTTTACAACGGCCCATAGGGCTCTGGTCAAAAGTAGTGTACTATATAGAGAATAGGGTGCCATTTGGGACACATAAATTCCCCAATCCAGAAAGGGAGTGAGGGCTTTTCTGTTTCCTCAGTACCCCCCTGCCACCCTACTTTACCACCTAAAACCTAGCTAATGTCTCCCCTGATGGGAAAAAATGTGTCCTTCTTTCTTGGTGTTTGTGTTGTTTTTCTGTCTCCCCTCCCTCTCACTACTCGCTGGCAGCATGTTGTCTGTCTCCCCTCCCTCTCACTACTCACTGGCAGCATGTTGTCTGTATCCCCTCCCTCTCACTACCTACTGGCAGCATGTTGTCTGTCTCCCCTCCCTCTCACTACCTACTGGCAGCACGTTGTCTGTCTCCCCTCCCTCTCACTACTCACTGGCAGCATGTTGTCTGTCTCCCCTCCCTCTCACTACTTACTGGCAGCATGTTGTCTGTCTCCCCTCCCTCTCACTACTCACTGGCAGCATGTTGTCTGTCTCCCCTCCTTCTCACTACTTACTGGCAGCATGTTGTCTGTCTCCCCTCCCTCTCACTACTCACTGGCAGCATGTTGTCTGACTCCCCTCCCTCTCACTACCTACTGGCAGCATGTTGTCTGTCTCCCCTCCCTCTCACTACTCACTGGCAGCATGTTGTCTGACTCCCCTCCCTCTCACTACCTACTGGCAGCACGTTGTCTGTCTCCCCTCCCTCTCACTACTCACTGGCAGCATGTTGTCTGTCTCCCCTCCCTCTCACTACCTACTGGCAGCACGTTGTCTGTCTCCCCTCCCTCTCACTACCTACTGGCAGCATGTTGTCTGTCTCCCCTCCCTCTCACTACTCACTGGCAGCATGTTGTCTGTCTCCCCTCCCTCTCACTACTCACTGGCAGCATGTTGTCTGTCTCCCCTCCCTCTCACTACCTACTGGCAGCATGTTGTCTGTCTCCCCTCCCTCTCACTACTCACTGGCAGCATGTTGTCTGTCTCCCCTCCCTCTCACTACTCACTGGCAGCATGTTGTCTGTCTCCCCTCCCTCTCACTACTCACTGGCAGCATGTTGTATGTCTCCCCTCCCTCTCACTACCACTGGCAGCATGTTGTATGTCTCCCCTCCCTCTCACTACTACTGGCAGCATGTTGTTGTCTTCCTCCTCCCTCTCACTACTCACTGGCAGCATGTTTGTATGTCTCCCCTCCCTCTCACTACTCACTGGCAGCATGTTGTATGTCTCCCTCCCTCTCACTACTCACTGGCAGCATGTTGTATGTCTCCCCTCCCTCTCACTACTCACTGGCAGTATGGCCCGAGGGAGCTAAGTGGCTGGTGTACAGGTGGATGAAGAGGCAGCTTGCTGTTTGTCTATCAGTCACTAATGCAGTGTTATACTGAGGAGTCACGTCCATGCTTATGAATCAGCCTGGTACTTTAGCATTTAATATTGCACTCAATATTGCAATTCCAATCTTTTAATGTTGATGCAGGTCTGGTTTAATGTGTTTGATTCAGAATGTTGTTGTTTATATCGATTGTTTTCTCTGTACGCAGCTCAACACATTTCCAATCTATTTTAATCAGCCTTGCGTAACATGGCCAGTCGCCAGTCGCTCTCCTCAACAGTTTGCCAATGGGGGAGTTATGTCATTGGGAGCGAGAGTTTGAACCCAGCCTAAGGACTTAACTTAAGGCCCACTGTAGATAAGATGCCTCCCCCTCATCCCTGCGCAGGTGAAGGCATTAGATTTGGGGGTCAGATCAAATGATTCCAAGGAAATGTCTCAGGGTGTCTGAGGGTGACAGGGGATGTGTCCCAAATGGCACCCTATTCCCTATATGGTGCACTACTTAGGGAGTAGGGTGACATTTGGGACACACCTATCTGTCCAAAGGGAGAGAGCTGAGGAGAAAACGGGGACAGGCTCACAGATATTGGGACTTAGTGTTTATTACAAGAGGATTTGCTCAGCTCACTGTGTGTGTGTGTGTGTGTGTGTGTGTAGGGTGGGGTGGGGGCATGTGTGTATGTTTGCGTGCCACACGATGGGTGTGTGAGCACTGAGCAGCAGACGTGCGAGGGTCCAGCGCCCAGCCAGCAGAAGTGACATTTCACTCTCGGCCGACGAAGTAAGCGGTTGTGAAAGAGAGTGTGTTGCCATGGTAACGCCAAGTCTCCTCTTCTTCTCTGGGGCGTTGGTGGCCGTGGCGTCAGCCGATTGGTATGAAATGGCATCCTTCAGGCCCCTGTTATCTTTAAAGACGGGGTTAATTCGCTGGGCGCGCATACTGAATCCCCAACGCTTCGTCCCTCATTCACAATCTTATCACAGTGTCGCCCTCGACACTGACAAAGAAATCAAATCAAGCGTGTCATTTCTGTAGCCCAACTTTCACAGCTGTTTCCATGGTGTGAGGGCAAGCGCTGTAAGCCTATCACAAGAAAGACTGGGCTTCTTAGATGTAAGGGTTAAGCGAGATTCTGGGCAGAATGAGCAGTCGGGCCAGTCATGAGTCTCTCTCTCTCTCTCACACACAAACACACAGGCTGGTCTTTAAAGAGATGACTTGGCGTGTGCCAGCTTGCATGTTCCCCCCCACGGACTGACACGTTTACAGGCGTCGTAAGGTTTTAAAGGCTGTGGCCCAGATCATAAGCTGATTAAGTGGTCTGACGCCTCGCGTGGCGGCAGCTAAAGCCCTTTTCCTTCCCTTGCTTCTCTGGGAAATACTGCCCGGTTAGGGAGAATCACATCTCACACAGCCTTAGGCCTAGGCTTCGTCCCTGGAAAGGTCACCAGTTCAGCTATATTGTTGTGCTTATGACTCAGCATAGATAAAGAGAATTCCACCATGCAGGTTTTGAAAAATATTGTGGTTCCATAAAACCATCTAGCATCCGTTGAGAAGTACTGTAGTCGATGGAGTGTAGAGCTGAATGATGAGACGGAAGGGACACAAAGGTAGTTCTATATGGTGAATGTGAATCCCAGCATGTCCCTGCTGTTTGACACTACATCAGTCAACAATAGAAGGCAAAAGTATGTGAGCACCTGCTCGTCGAACATCTCATTCCAGAATCATGGTTAATATGGAGTTGGTCCCCCTTTTGCTGCTATAACAGCCTCCACTCTTCTGGGAAGGCTTTCCACTAGATGTTGGAACATTGCTGCGGGGACTTGCTTCCATTCCGCCGCAAGAGCATTAGTGATGTTGGGCGATTAGGCCTGGCTCGCAGTCGGTGTTCCAATTCATCCCAAAGGTGTTCGATGGGGTTGAGCCTAGCCCGAACCATGAAAAACAGCCTCAGACCATTATTCCTCCTCTACCAAACTTTACAGTTGGCACTATGCATTCGGGAAGGTAGCGTTCTCCTGGCATCCGCCAAACCCACGTTCGTCCGTCGGACTGCCAGATGGTGAAGTGTGATTCATCACTCCAGAGAACGTGGTTTCACTGCTCCAGAGTCCAATGGCGGCTAGCTTTACACCACTCCAGCCAACGCTTGGCATTGCGCATGGTGATCTTAGGCTTGTGCGGCTGCTCGGCCATGGAGACCCATTTCATGAAGCTCCCGACTGCTGACGTTGCTTCCAGAGGCAGTTTGGAACTCTGTAATGAGTGTTGCAACTGAGGACAGATGATATTTACGCGCTAGACGCTTCAGCACTCAGCGGCCCCATTCTGTGAGCTTGTGTGGCTGAGCTGTTGTTGCCTGTAGACATTTCCACTTCACAATAACAGCACTAGCAGGGCAGAAATTTGACGAACTGACTCGACGATGCCACGTTGAAAGTCACTGAGCTCTTCAGTAAGGCTATTCTACTGCCGATGTTTGTCTATAGAGATTGCATGGCTGTGTGCTCGATTGTATACACCTGTCAGCAACGGGTGTGGCTGAAATAGCCGAATCACTAATTTGAAAGGGTGTCCACATACTTTTGTATGTACAGTATATTGTATAATCCTTAAGGTTACAATGCATTTCCTATCACTAACTTCTCCCCTTGGTAGAATGGAGCACCACAGTATTAATGTATCTCTATGGAAAGCACAGTGTAGGGGCGGGGAGACGTCTGCTAGGGGATTGATGATGATCTGAACACCCACTGGAGAGGAGAAATGGGGGTCCTTCAGAAGGTCAGAGCCACTGCTGAGCGGCTAACGGGACCATCGGTTACCTCACGCTCCTGACGGATGGGTGTGTGTGGGGCGAGGTTGGACCGTCACATGAGATGTGCCCGTCCAGTGTAGTGTCGACACATCATAGATTGTGTGTGTCTGTGTCTCTGCGTGTGTGTGTATTCTAAAACACCCCGGTCCTTTGAAAGTGAGCATACAGTTGTTTTATTAATCTATCAACCCATTCCTGCTTTCCAACGCCACACTAGTAGAAGGAGGTTGAGAATGTTTTTATTTTCTGTTGGCATTAGACCACTGCAAAGTTCCCAGGCGGCATTGGCCAAAGGGGTGAATTGCCTGGCATCCCACTGTTACCAGGGGAAACGGCAACAGTTTTAGGTATCGCAGAATCAATCGCTGAGTCAATTTTCTGCTTGAGCGCGCAGCAGGCTGCACTGCTGCACTAGGATCTCTGTTTGCAGTGGGAAAGATTTGGATAGCGCACTACCGATCTGCTCCGTTTCTTTTTTGTTCCTACCACCTCGACTATGCCCCCCATCCCTACCAACCACGCCCCCCTGCAGCCTAGCAGAGAGAGCAAGACAAGCCTTTCTATGTCTGTCTCCCGTGGTGCAGAAAATGCCTGCTGACCCATCCAAACAGCATCTCTCTCCCTCTCTCTCTCGCTTTCTCTCTCTCCCCCTCTCCTTCTCTCTCTCCTTCTCTCTCCGTCTCTCTCTCTCTCTCTCTCTCTCTCCCTCTCTCTCTGTCTCTCTGCTTGTGAAAATGTAATAGTGTAGTTGATCCTGGGCTGGGTTCAACAACATCTTTGAGACACCAGTGTGAAGCCAATGGAAATATCCCATGTGATGGACCACTCTGTTCATACCTGTCGCTGAGGAAGAACCTGTGGGCTTTTATATCATAACGTGCTACTTTTGAGAGCATTTTTACTGTAATGATGGTTCTTCTGTCAAAGTGCCAGAGTCTGTAGATCACAGGTGTCAGACTCACCCCACGGAGGGCAGAGTGTCTGCGGGTTTTCGCTCCTCCCTTGTACTTGATTGATGAATTATGGTCACTAATTAGTAAGGAACTCCCCACACCTGGTTGTTGAGGTCTTAATTGAAAGGAAAAACCAAAAAACTATAGACACTATGCCCTCCATGGAATGAGTTTGACACCCCTGCTGTAGATGACTCAATGATGGTGAATATTTGGCTCCACATAGAAAGTACCTGCCATTTCATTTTCAAGCCAAATTGTTCTCTCAGTATATGAGACCCTGTGTACATGTATTCATCCAGTTGTGTTCCTGAGATGAACAACTGTTGATGTAACTATGGTATGTCTGTTTATCTGTCTCCCGTGCAGAATCGGTGAAGAGCATCCCTCTGCCTGGCAGCATGAACGGAGGTGCCCCCGGTGCCCACCAGCCTCAGCGGGCAGCAGCTGGCCTCTGCCATCCCCTCCCCCACCGCCGGAAAGTCCTGGCGCAGCAAATCCATGAACATGAAGCACAGTGCCACCTCCTCCATGCTCTCAGTCTCCACCTCGCCCTCTCCCTCGCCCACCCCACCCCCCTCCGACCGCCTACGGCCTCCCATGACCGAGGCGCCCAAGTCGGGCTCTGTCACTGGCGCGTCCCAGAGATCCATGCTGGACAAGTTCCGGATGATAAACCCTCGCTCGGCATCGCGGACCTCGCCGTCGGTGGCCGAGATGGCCTTGCAGGAGGAGGATGACATGTCGGAGTACGGCGAGGAAGGGCTAAGCATAACGGAGCCTACGTCGTCAATGTGTACTAGCAGCACCAGCAGCGCCAAGCAGCTGGCCAAGTCTGCCTCGCCCCCTTCCCTGGCAGCAGCCAACAAGGGCTGTGTGAAGGGCTCGTCCCCCTCCGGCGGCGGCAGCAGTAAGTCCCTGCCCCAGCCCAAAGACAAGGAGGATAAGAGCAGGAGCAGAGGAGACAAGGCCATCACCTCTCCCAAAGAGGAACAACGGGAACCCATGGTGGATCCAACCAAGAAGACCTCTAAGATTGCCAGCCTCATCCCCAAGGGAGGCAAGCCCGCGGCGGGCAAGAAGGACATTGCCATCCCCCCTGCCTCCAGTGGAATCCCCAAGCCTGGGCTCAAGGCCCCCTCGGCTACGGGGAAGCAGGCCGGCGGTCAAGCCCAGACCCAGACCCAGACCCAGACCCAGACCCAGACCCAGACCACCCAGGGTGGTAGTGGAGGAGGCAGGGAAGGGGACAAGGCCAAGGTAGTTAAAGGGGGCCAGGGGGGCTACTACATGCAGCAGCGGTCCCTGGGGGGCCTGGAGGGGCGGCGGAGCAACATGGTGTCTTCCACCAGCACCTCGGCCCTTTCCCAGCCCCCAGGGGCCATGGGAGGGAACGGAGCGGTGCAGCTCCCCCAGCAGCAGCAGCACAACCACCCCAACACGGCCACCGTCGCCCCCTTCATGTATAGGTGAGACTGTATGTGTATGTGCAGGTGAGCCTGTCTGTGTGCAGGTGAGCCTGTGTGTGTGTGTGTGTGTGTGTGTGTGTGTGTGTGTGTGTGTGTGTGTGTGTGTGTGTGTGTGTGTGTGTGTGTGTGTGTGTGTGTGTGTGTGTGCGCATGCGTGCATGCGATTGTTTGTGTGACAATGGGGATTGGGTGGGGTGTTCTGCCGAAGGTTTCTCTAATGATTGGTGTGTTCATTAGCTATGAAGCGTTTTTCTATTAGCTAGCTACACCACTAGTAGCGTGGGGGAGTAATCCCATCAAGCCAAGAATCCTCATCTGACAGCCTTTGTCTTCAAGGCTGTTAACTGACTTGGAGTTTTCTATAGAGGGCTTTGTAGGATGTTCACTTAAAATGGAAAGAAAAATACATAATCAAATCACAATTACCCAAATGAGCTCTTGTTCACCTCAGCAGGTTGTTAGAATGACAGCCCAAACTAACCTCAGCAGGTTGTTAGAATGATAGCCCAAACTCACCTCAGCAGGTTGTTAGAATGACAGCCCAAACTCACCTCAGCAGGTTGTTAGAATGACAGCCCAAACTCACCTCAGCAGGTTGTTAGAATGACAGCCCAAACTCACCTCAGCAGGTTGTTAGAATGACAGCCCAAACTCACCTCAGCAGGTTGTTAGAATGACAGCCCAAACTCACCTCAGCAGGTTGTTAGAATGACAGCCCAAACTCACCTCAGCAGGTTGTAAAGTGGTTATCCCACTGGCTACAGGGTGAACTCACCAATTTGTGAGTCGCTCTGGCTAAGAGCGTCTGCTAAATGACGTTAATGTGCCCTTGAGCAAGGCACTTAACCCTAATTGCTCCTGTAAGTCGCTCTGGATAAGAGCGTCTGCTAAATGACTAAAATGTAAATGTAAATGTTGTTAGAATGACAGGCCAAACTCACCTCAGCAGGTTGTTAGAATGACAGCCCAAACTCACCTCACTACCTCCATGTCCTGATGTCTAAGCCTGCAGCATAACCCCAAGGCCCTCTGTTCCACCTGACATAGTTCAGCTGAATTTGTGTCTGAACTGTCCATCACTTGGGTATTTATATGCAGGAAATGTCCCTTGTTTGCCACTTGATTTCTGCGAAGGAGTTCAACTTTGTTGAGAACTTCCACTCCTTTATCCGCATCCCCCCCTTCTGTCATTGTGGTGCCAAGGCTCGTTAGATAACCCTACAGTCACACACACACACACACGAGGGCTGGCCCTCCCACTGCACACCTCACAATGCGGCCCGTCCAGTCACACTCCACCTTGATGTGTGTACAACCAATTGAATCACTACGTCCCATCGTGCCCCAAAACCCCTATTATTAGAGTGTCTGGAGAGAATTGGAAGCCTTGATTCCAGACGGATGCCGCCCATCAAAGCTCATTTCCCACCTTTCAATCTGTCGCCTGTATGAGGGCCACTGATGTCAGAGACAGAGCCTGTACATGATGGCGGGCATGCTAACGACAGTTCTCGCCATTGGACTCAATCTCCTGATAGATGATGAGGGAGGGAGGGAGGGAGGGAGGGAGGGAGGGAGGGAGGAAGGGAGGGGGGGGAGGGAGAGAATCCTATTAACGACCCATAATCGGCTTCAGAGGAACTTTTCCCTCTCTTCTCTTTCTCTCTATAATTCCAGAAAGGGCTCAACCACGGTCCACAATGCACTCTGCTGCTCACTGACTCACCGTTGAGAATTAGTCTTCATCCGTTCAATACACCTCGCCATCTTGCTCATCAACAGGCATCCCTGATCATCATTCATAGGCAGATGCAGGTGATGGCTGTTGTTCTCAAACCTGTTTTCCATATGCATTAAATGGGAGACAAGCGACGCACAAAATACACTGCAATGTCATGCCATTAAAAAGTGATTTTCTTCATATCCCTCTCCTACTTTGTATTCATGTCAGGTCCTAATCATGCGCAGCTCAGCTACTTAACCAAGATGCAATCAACCCAAATGAAAAGCACGTTGTCTTCTGTGCTCAGCAGCCAACAGGTTGACATGCTCAGTTCTAGCTCATCCCATCACTCACACTCCCGCCTACCTCTCCCCTTCTGTTGTCCAATCCTGGCTGTAGCATCCCATGTCTCCCTCCCTCCCCCTTTCCTGTGTTTCTCCCACTCCGGGGGGAGGTGTGCCCCCGCCGCCGACCTGCCTGACAGAGGAAGAACTGTCAACAGCCTCGCACTTAGGGCCTCCCGCTGCGCAGTAATTTACCATCATTTCAGGGCCAATTAGGTTTCTTCCCTCTCCTGTGCCACAGCAGAGCAGAGCAGCAGTTAGCTGCAGTTGGTGTTACGTTGATTACAGTCCCCCTGCCTCCCCCTTTGACAGCAGCCGGGGAGGTGATTGTAAGGCACTGCTGTGTGACGTAAACGTTGGATGTGCGTCCTCTCCCTGACCTAATTCGACCTGAGATTCTCACTTACGATTGGCTGTGCTTTGTTTTGTTCTCTGTACGTTTCTCAGGGGGTTTTAAGGACTGTTTTGAGATCCTTGTTATACAACTTTATAACATACATTCCTAAACTGAGTTGCCAGAATATATACCCTCCCCCAGTAAACAATTAATTTACACATTCCTACATTTTGTACAGGTTGTCAAATTGCTGCCATATTTCTGAATGTCTCTCTGTGCAATTCTATGGAGCTATAACTATTTTGTAGGGTGGATGTTAGAAACCGAGTTTCACGATGCTGAACTCATTGGCTGATGCAGCAGACCGTGGATGCCAGTTTATCTCTGGCGGTGCAGGTGGCTGGAGAAGGTTTTATTGTGGGTGTGCCGGTGCGGTAGAGTTATCTAGCAGCCGTCAAACGTCTGGCTGTGTTTCTCACATCTCTGCCCAGGGCCAGGGAACAAACACAGGCGCATACCAAATGACACCCTATTACCTTTTTAGTGCACTACTTTTGACCAGGGCCCATAGGCTATAGGGAGACAGGGAGTGCAAGCCAGTATGTGGATTTTGACTGCACATAGGCAGGCTCATGATACAGAGACAAACTTCCATTTACCCATCTAACCCTCACATCATCCAAGAGATACCCCTGAGATGTTCATCTCCATCTATTGAAAATGTGAAAAAGCACATATCAAAATATTTCAATCCGGCTCCAGTTGTTGTTTTTTTACCACAGGAAAACACAAACACACTATACAGTGTGGCTCCTGAATAACCATGGCTTTGTTTGTTTCTCCCAGGACGTACTCCGAGAACGACTGTACCACGGTGGCCCCCTCAGACCACTGCCTCAGCCCCACCAAGGGAGACCTGGTCTACAGCAAGACCGCCAAACAGTGCCTGGAAGAGATCTCAGGTAGGCAACACTTGCTGACACGCGTGTGTGTGTGTTTGTTATAGTATATTCTATGTGTGTATCGGTGCGTGTGTGTACTTTCCGGTGAACGCGAGTTTGTGTTTGAGGCAACGAGGGGGGTCCTTTGATCACCGCCTCACATGGCGAAGGGAAAAGGTCAGGAACGACCGGCAGACACAGGACGCATCTGTGGCCCTTTGTTTATGTGGTTGCTCGCGGTTGCCATTGGTTATGCCCCAGCCTAGCTGTGGGGATGTGGCGGCTTATCCGGATAGACAGCGGCCAGAGGCTGCAGGAGACAAAGATAGCTAGAATCAGCCTGTATTATCTGGGTGGTGGGCTGGGCTGCAACTCAGCCTGGCGTTTACACAGAGACTGATAGAATTTCAATGCGATGGAAATGTAATGTGGATAATGTCCTTTGGAAATTATGACGTGTTATTACGTAGCTTTGGTGTTGCAGGTCAGGTATCTGCCAAATCACAGTACATCCATTGTAACATAGAAAATCGATATCGATATGTATTCCTGCCTAGCGGTTCTACATGTTAACTAAACGTACTGAATGTCTTAGGTCTTGCTCTACTATAAGCTGATTTGTCGTTTGGGTATGGGAAAACAAAAGATTGCTCTGTCACAAAACAAATCACTCCCCAAAAAAACACACGTTCTAAAAATCGTCATCTACAAAGGGAATGATCCCTACCAAGCGCTGCTTTAGTCCTCTGAATGTATGCCTTTACAAAGCCACGCCCAAAGTAAAATGTCTGGAATGTTGTGTTTTTACATCTCCAAACCTATAATATACATACTGTGGTCACGGCACAATGTGCACCGCGGTCAGCGAGATTCGATTGAACTTTGTGCTTTGATTTGTTCTTGATGGCTCATTTATGAAAACGTGTGCAGTTGTGCTCTACTCAGACAGTGTGATTGTGGTGTTTTGGGGGGCTTTTTGTGAATGTATGTAAATGATAAATGAGGAACCATGGTGGTTCACTTCTGAATCAGGACAATTATGTTGATTTTTGTGCATGGTGAAGTTGCCCCCAGACACTGATCTTGGGTCAGTTTTGTTTTCCCTCACTATTCATAAGGTAAGGATTTGGGGAGGGAAAGCAGATCCTAGATCGGTACCTAGGGGAAACTGCACCCTTGTTTTTCTCTTAGTTTTTACTCCTTAATTGCTCCTTGCCTGGAATGTGAGTCTGTGGTAGCCTCTGTAGTGAAGGAAGTCTTTCAAAAAGCTACTTATGGTTCATCATCTTCGGCTACATTTCCTGCAGCACTGATACATTTAATGTACATTTAGGTTGTTTAACAGACAGAGCAACTTACAGTCATGTCACAGAAGATTGACCATGAGTCAGTGGAGATGATTGGCCATGTAAGGTCAATGTAGTGGTAGGCATATAAATGCAGTATAACTTGCAGCAGTTGAACAGCATCTTTAGCCATTCCAGGGGTTCCTGGTTCCAACCACTTACAGGTGTAGGATCATAATTTGATCACCCTGTTGTTGCAGGAAACTCACAGGTGTGCTGTCCAAACAACTCCAAATTTCCATTTTTAAATGTCAGACTTGATTTGCCCTAACTAAAAATGTATCAACCCCTACAAAAAGGTCCAATAATTATAATCGACAAAATAATACACATTTCCTGTTTGCTGAATGATTGTTTTCCTTCTGTGAGAAACTGGTCAGATTAAGATCCTACACTTGTAAATACCATCTCTGTCCATGGCAGTTAATGTCACCTTGGATATGGTTGTTCAGGGCAACTGCTACCGTGAGTTACTCTGTTTCACGAGCTTATAGCATGTGTGGTCATATGGAGGCTGTTGTTTGTCTATGGTGTGTGTGTCTGTACAGTTGAGGCTATTAATGCTAGAGTAAGTGTTGAAGCTGTTGACAGACAGCCTGCAGTCAAGGCGAGAGGAGAGCTGGAGCTTTACTCTTTACCTCATTAACCCTGTAGCATTTAATTAGCTTGTGCATCAGCGCAGCGTGGCTATCAGGGAGCCAGAACTCACAGGTGTGCTGTCCAAACAACTCCCAGTCACACTGGTTTTTATCAGGGGAGGAGAAGAGGGAGAGGGGGAGGAAAGAGGGAGGGGGAGGAGAAGAGGGAGAGGGGGAGGATAATGGGGAGAGGTGGAGGAGAAGATGGAGAGGGAGGAGGAAAGCGGGAGGAGAAGGGGGAAAGAGGGAGAGGGGGGAGAAGAGGGGGAGGAAAGAGGGAGAGGGGAAGCAGCGTTGCATTTTCATCCTTTGGCTCTCTTTCGCTCACACACACACTCCAAAAGTACCTTGCGACTTGTGGGCAGACGTGGAGACTGAAGACGCGTGCTTTGATGGTCGGCAGTAGCCACAGCAGAGGCTGCCACTACTGCAGCAGAGGAAAGGGAGACTAGCGAGACAAGAGAAAGAGAGAGAGAGAAGAAGGGAGAAACAGATGAGAGGCAGGGAGAAAGAGAGAGAGCAGCGGAGGAGAGGGAGGATAGAATTGCAGGCTGAATGCTAAAATGAACAGAGCGGAGAGATTGAGTGCTGGCTCCATTCTCTGGTGTGAGGAGAGGAGAGAGGGAGAGAAACAGAGGCTCTGCTGAGCTGGTAATTAACAGGAGAGGAGAGAGAGGAATGAAAAGGCTCCCCTCTGCTCTTAATAGAGAAAGAGAAAGAGAGAGAGAAGGAGAGAGAGGAAGAGAGAGAGAAGGAGAGAGAGGAAGAGAGAGAGAAGGAGAGAGAGTGTAATAGAGCAGAGGAGCGAGAGATCGCGTGAGAAAGAGAGAGATGTAAAATCGCATTCATCCACACCCCTCACCGCTCCTTGCTGTTTTGAGGTGGAAAACAGAGGGTAGGAGTGAGAGAGAGAGAAGAGGAGGAGGAGGAGGTAAAGGAGTGTCTGTTTTTCGTGTTGGTGTGTGTTTGTGGCACCAGTTATTGGCTGGGTGACCATGGGAATGCAATGTCTGGTGGATGGCTCTGGACTCTGCTGTGCGTGAGGGGGGAGTTTTTCCATCCAGGCGTCTGCGGTATGCTCTCCATCCCTCCATCTGGATGAAGCCTGGACCCTCGGTGAGCGCTGGACACAAGGGCCACCTGAGCCCTCCCCCCTCCCCAGATAGAGGAGTCTTCACCTCTCTCGCCACCCTCTTCTCCTCTCCCCTCCTCCGATCACCGGCCACCACTGCCAGAATGTGAACGGGAACAGAGCCAAACAGGTGGACCAGCACAGACCCACTGACGAACAGAGAGAAAGGAGGAGAAGATGAAGAGAGGTCCAGAGTTCTCCGTGTACCAGGGCGGAAGCCCTCCTCGCCGACCCCCCCAGCCCCTCCCAGACAACCTCAACCTCCGCAAGCAGCGCTCCCTCACCAACCTGACCCTGCTGAGCGAGGGCGAGCAGCGGGTGTACTCCTTCGAGCTAGATGACCCCCCCACGCCTTCCAAATCCTCTTCATCCCTGTCATCATCCCCAGCGCCAGGGGGCAGCCCCAGGAAGGAGCCAGCCAGGGATGGCGGGGGCGCGAGGGGCACCAGGGTGCGCTCCCTGTCCCTCTCCCTGACCAAAGTTCTCTCCCAGTCGGAACACTCCCTCATCCCCGTGCCGTGGAGGTGCACGGCGGGCGGGCGGGCATCGCTGGGCGGGCAACAGCAATGGGAGACGTCACGTGGGCAGCTGGGGAAGCCCAGGGAGGAGGGTACGGATGAAGAGGGCAGCAGCGGTCGTTCGGACGACGAGGTGGCGTCAGTGGCGGGCACCAGGGTCGGGGGCCAGGGTGGCAGGGAGAGGGGGTACTGGGCGGAGGAGGAGGCGGAGGGGGGCGCCCGCGAGGGCACGGCTCAGCTAGACAAGGAGGTGATCCTCACCATGCTGGGCGACCTGGAGCAGGTGCTGCACACACACCCACGCTGTAAGTCACACACTCTCTCACACCGTAACACACACACACCCACCCACAAACACACCATAGCCAGGGGCGTACACAGGTCTCCATCCATATGGCTGGATGTACAGATGGATGTGGAGCTGCTGTTCTGGTAATGCTGCTTACTAAATGATACATGCTAGAAATAATGGTGATGAACTGAAGCTTGGGTAGTAGTGTCAGGCAAAGGGAGTGATAGTTGCAGTGTGGTAGTGGTCGTATTATTAGCAGAGGTAGACGTAGTGGTAACATAAGTAATCAGTTTGGTAATAGTAGAAACACTGGTAGTAATAGCAGTAGCATAAATACTCATTGTGGTATCACTGGAGTAGCAATAGCAGTAACATAAATACTCATTGTGGTATTATTGTAGTAGTAATCGTAGTAACATAAATACTCATTGTGGTATCACTGGAGTAGTAATAGTAGTAACATAAATATTCATTGTGGAATTATTGTAGTAGTAATCGTAGTAACATAAATACTCATTGTGGCATTATTGTAGTAGTAATCGTAGTAACATAAATACTCATTGTGGTATTATTGTAGTAGTAATCGTAGTAACATAAATACTCATTGTGGTATCACTGGAGTAGCAATAGCAGTAACATAAATAGTCATTGTGGTCTCACTGTAGTAGTAATAGTAGTAACATAAATACTCATTGTGGTAGTATTGTAGTAGTAATAGTAGTACCATAAATACTCATTGTGGTCTCACTGTAGTAGCATTAGTTCATATTGCACTGAAAAAGCCCAGTCCCAAATTCTCCCATTCTTGAAGAAATACCAGTACTGCTGCCTGCTGCCAGCTGCAGCGTACGAGCTCCCTCACTGCCTGTGAATACAACAGTGACAGTGATCCATCCATACCCTACTATCCCTGTCTGTGTGATCTATCCAGGTAGTTACAGTACCTCCTAAAGCCCATTTCCACACAAAGTTGCCATTGAAAGTGCTCAGCCTGCCCAGCTGCAGTATAGGACAGTACGGCAGCTCAGGGTTTTGCCTCAGGGAGCGACGTATTGGATGTGGTTTAACAAGCAGCTCGGTGCTGTACTGCCTGTTAGGAAGGGTTTTAGCTGGGAGAACTCATAACACTCTGGACCCAGTGTTTCCTCCCTCTCAGGCGTGTCTGCAGCAAGCTGCAGAGAGTTGACACATGCTATCTAACACAGAGGGGTGTGGGTGACAATGGAAATGGGTTTGAATGATTTGATTTGACATTCTCTGCACAAAGGCATATTCAGAGTTTGGTGCGTGCAAGCGAAGCTTGCCGAGACCCTCGTGTGTTTTGTGAGACATGGTGTTAGCTGGTCTCATTAGGATGTGTGGAGCAAGGAGTTGTATTCACTCTCTCCGGTAGAGGTGCGGGCCTCGAGCAAAAGAGAACATGCATTATTGAAGAGAGGGAGAGTGATACTAGGCAGATGCTGAACCTGTGGCCTGTGGTGGTGTTGGGTGTGTGTGTGTGTGTGTGTGTGTGTGTGTGTGTGTGTGTGTGTGTGTGTGTGTGTGTGTGTGTGTGTGTGTGTGTGTGCACGTGCGTGTGTGTGTGTGCGCATCTGTTTGTAAATGCTTGTGTGTGTGTGTGTTCATATTTGTGTGTGTCAACCTGTGGCTTGCGGTGCTGTCGCTGCATTGTAACATGATTGCTCTGCTCAACAGGGACTTGAATAGCGATGCATCTGGCTGAGGCTGAGATCATCTCCCGCTGGTAGTACATTGTCAAGTGGTGCTTCCAGCTATATTTCCCCTATCATAAACAGTCTAGAATGAGCCCTGAGGTTCACGGCTTTTGTTACACAAACATTCATATAATTTATATGCAAATAATATTATTAATCTCTAGATTTCCACTGATAATGGTGCGGGAGTAATCTAAGACCAAAACATTTCCTCTCTCTTAACACCTATTTATTTTTTTACAATCTGATTTAATAATGCCATCAATAGTATAACCGTTTTATTAGTGGCAAATACAAAATTATTCATGTTTACATACTTCACACTTGTTTCTCCGTCAATAATATTACCTTTCACTCCCAAAATCTCATCTGACCACCTGTGAGTGTAAAGTGAATGGTATGTATTGCCTGTTGGGTTTGCCTATGGGGAGTGGTGGATGGTGGATGATGGTGGTGGTGGGTGGTGAGTGATGGTGGTGGGTGGTGAGTGATGGTGGTGGGTGGGTAGTGATGGTGGTGGGTGGGAAGTGATGGTGGTGAGTGATGGTGTGGGTGGGGAGTGATGGTGTTGGTGGTGAGTGGTGTTAGTGGTGAGTGATGGTAGTGAGTGATGGTGGTGGGTGGTGAGTGATGGTGGTGGTGGTGGGTGGGGAGTGATGATGGTGAGTGGTGTTGGTGGTGAGTGGTGGTAGTGGTGAGTGAGTGATGGTGGTGAGTGATGGTGGTGAGTGATGGTAGTGAGTGATGGTAGTGAGTGATGGTGGTGAGTGATGGTAGTGAGTGATTGTGTGATATACAGAGCAGCACTCTGCTTTAGGTGAATGCTCCACTCCATTAGCGCTCTATGAATCACTCCCTGCAGCTAACTCACTGGGAGCATGTCTGCATCCTAAATAGCACCCTATCCCCCCCAGGGCCAACCCTGTTTGTGTCCCTTTATAATTGGACCGACATTTCATCTTTGTCAACGAGGAGAGGAATAGAGGTAGGGGGATGGAGGTAGGGGAGGGTTTGAAGATTTCTGGCAGTTTCGAGTCTGTCTCTCAGACCACCTTGCCACACCCCACCCACACAGATATGATATGACCATTCCTCCTCTCTTCTCTCTCTCTCTCTTTCTCTCTGTGTGGACATGATGGAAGGAAGAGGGTAAGGAGGGTTTTTCAACGTGGGGAGATAGATAGTGTAGGGGAGGGAAAGATTGATATTTAGCTAAATGGGTCCCCTATATCATATCTCTCTCTTTCTTTCTTTCTTTCTTTCTTTCTTTCTTTCTTTCTTTCTTTCTTTCTTTCTTTCTTTCTTTCTTTCTTTCTTTCTTTCTTTCTTTCTTGTTCTTCTATATTTTCGCTCTCTCTCTCTCTCTCTCTCTCTCTCTCTCTCTCTCTCTCTCTCTCTCTCTCTCTCTCTATCTCTTTCTCTCTCTCTCTCTCTAGCTCTCTCTTCATCCTTTCAGCTGACAGTGAGACACACAAAAAGTCAAATTAAAGGGCTCTAAAAGCCATTTGATGTCCTATTAAGTCCATTATACAAGGCTGTCCTATTAAGTCCATTATACAAGACTGTCCTATTGAGTCCATTATACAAGGCTGTCCTATTGAGTCCATTATACAAGACTGTCCTATTGAGTCCATTATACAAGGCTGTCCTATTGACTCCATTATACAAGGCTGTCCTATTGAGTCCATTATACAAGGCTGTCCAGCTCTTTTGTGTTTCCTTTTAAGTCTGAAACCGTAGACGGCTTAGCGAGGTATAGATTGGCCGCCCCGTGGCTCGGGGTTAAGGGATGCTGCCTGGGCTTGGTCCCTCCTCAGATCTTAACAGCCTCCCTGAAAGGACTGATTCAGAAGACAGGAAGTAAAATGCTGTTCTACATCAGACGCCTACTGAATTACTGAACCGGACGCACGTCTATGAGGTCAGGGTGAAATAGTTAAAAATGGTGTGTGTGTGTACACGTTTTACTGTACCTGTGAGTACCAAAAGTCCTCACAAGAATAGTAAACCAACTAAAATTCAGAGAAATGAGGACATTTTGCTGGTCCTCACGTGTAAAAAGGCTATTTTAGGCTTAGGGTTAGGGTTAGGGTTAGGGTTAGGGTTAGAGGTTAGGGTTAGGGTAAGGGTTAAGGTTAGGGGTATAGTAAGACATAGCTGTGTGTGTATATAATAAATATTAGGTGGGTGCTTATATTTGTCCTGGTTCACACATGTACCAGTGTGTATTAATATGCATGGGTGAAATGGCAATGTGTTTTTTGCCTATCCCAGCTCCCCCTGAGGCACCCTCGGAGAGTGTGTGCGTGTGCATAAGCTGTATCAGTCCTCTTGACAGAAGCAGAGATGCGTGAACACAGTTTTGAGGTGCCGCTCAGCAGCTCTTCCAAAATCAGGTCAGCCTTGAAGGTTGGTGACAGAGTTTGATGGACTCTGTACTAGCTATGTGGGTACGTTAAAACACTATGAAAACATTCATTCTGTGTTGTATGTTGGGGTGATGTACCAAACAATAACTTAATATTCAGCTTGTGTGGAGTATATTCGTTCTCTAAATGTTAAGCGCTTGTTGACTGTTTAGTGAG